GATTGTGAAGAGCCGTTACCTGAAGAAAGACCTGATCCCGAATCCCATTGGGGTTTAATATTTGACGGAGCTGTGAACTCTTATGGAAATGGAATTGGGGCAATCATCGTCACTCCCCGAGGTACTCATATCCCGTTCACGGCGAGATTTAAGTTTGACTACACGAACAACATGGCTGAATATGAGGCATGTATTATGGGTCTCGAAGAAGCAGTGGATCTAAGGATTAAGATTCTTGATATTTACGGAGATTCAGCATTGGTAATTAATCAAATCAAAGGAGAATGGGAGAATCGTCATCCTGGTTTGATCCCTTACAGAGACTATGCTAGAAGATTGTTAACTTTCTTCAACAAAGTGGAATTACATCATATCCCTAGAGATGAAAACCAAATGGCTGATGCTTTAGCTACTTTGTCTTCAATGTTTCAAGTGAATGGTTGGAACGATGTGCCTACAATCTGGGTTATGCGCCTCGATAGACCTGCTCATGTGTTCTCAGTAGAAGAGGTTACCGACGACAAACCATGGTTCTATGACATTAAACGTGTTCTTCAAACTCAAGTGTACCCGCCTGGGGCATCCAATAAAGATAGGAAGACATTGAGAAGATTAGCAAGCAGTTTCTTCCTCAATGAAGAAGTATTGTATAAGAGGAATTATGACATGGTCCTACTCAGATGTGTAGACAGACATGAAGCAGACATGCTGATGCAAGAAGTACATGAAGGATCCTTTGGCACACATGCCAACCTACATGCAATGGCTAAAAAGATGTTGAGAGCTGGTTACTATTGGATGACAATGGAATCTGATTGCTGCAAATATGTGAAGAAATGTCATAAATGCCAGATTTATGCGGACAAGATACATGTGCCACCGACCCTCCTCAACGTTATCTCTTCACCTTGGCCTTTCTCTATGTGGGGAATTGATATGATTGGAATGATTGAACCCAAAGCTTCAAATGGTCATCGTTTCATCTTGGTAGCGATCGATTATTTTACTAAATGGGTGGAAGCAGCATCTTATGCTAATGTAACTAGACAGGTGGTAGTCAGATTTATCAAGAATCAAATCATTTTTCGATACGGTATCCCGAGCAAGATCATCACTGATAATGGTTCAAATTTGAATAACAAGATGATGAAAGATCTTTGTGAGGAGTTCAAGATCGAACATCATAATTCTTCTCCTTACAGACCAAAGATGAATGGGGCTGTTGAAGCTGCTAACAAGAACATCCAAAGCGTTGTCCAGAAGATGGTGGTAACTTATAAAGATTGGCATGAAATGCTTCCATTTGCTTTACATGGATACCGTACTTCAGTTCAAACTTCAACAGGTGCAACCCCATTTTCCCTAGTTTATGGCATGGAAGCAGTACTTCCCGTGGAGGTTGAGATCCCGTCTATGAGAGTTTTGATGGAAGCTAAACTTTCTGAGGCTGAATGGTGTCAAAGTAGATATGATCAGTTGAATTTAATTGAAGAAAAGAGATTGACAGCATTGTGTCACGGTCAATTATATCAGCAGAGAATGAAGAAGGCATTTGATAAGAAGGTTCGACCATGCGAGTTCAGAGAAGGTGACCTTGTGCTCAAAAAGATATTATCTTTCCAACCTGATTCTAGGGGCAAGTGGGCTCTGAATTATGAAGGATCGTATGTCGTTAAGAAAGTTTTCTCTGGAGGTGCCATGATTCTCACAAATATGGACGGTGAAGAGCTCCCGCGCTCCATGAACGCCGATGCAGTCAAGAAATATTTCGCTTAGGTTTGAGTTGACAGTTTGCTAAGTTGAAAACCCGAAAGGGCGGCTTAGGCAAGCTTTTGGTCAGACCAGTCTTGGCATTTGAGCACATTTCGGAATTCGAAGTTGTTAGGGAGAATAGTGATCATTGTTTTTTGTGTAACCTTTTCCTTTTATGTACTATTTCCTAAACTTTTGTAAACCGTTAGAGTCGCGTTGTTAGCGAACTACCATTTTATTAATAAAATCGGAGCATTTATCTTTTTGTGGGCAAAATTTTAATTTTACGGCAGTATTTGAAACAAAGTTATTTAACGCATTCCTATTTTAAATGTGTCGTGAATACTGAAAGGAATATTAACAATTGTTCCAAGGATGGTCAAGCCATGAAATGCAAAACAATACAGTAATTTATCCTTGCATGATGAACATGTTTCCTTTCAAAATCGTCATGAGGTGTTGGTTGTGTAAACTTGCGTTTCTCGTGGTATTAAGCTTGGTGACTCCCCAGCATTTCCAGTTAAGCTTTGTTTCAGTTATCTTTATTTGAGCAAATTTCTGAAGTGTGGTACGTTTTGTATCATGCCAGTGGTCTATTGGTATTAGAAGATTGGATTTGAATACTTTTCTCCTCAGAAGACTTGAGCCTTGTAGGGTGATACGCTCTGACGTTGCTTTATGGTTCCAGTTCCAGTTATTTTCCGTCTTTTTAAGATTGGCCGAGTATCTATTATTTCGTGACATCTTATCGTCTTCAAGATATTCCATCTGTTTGTTTTGTCAGCATAACATTCATTTACTCATTTACACTTATATCACGCATGCATATTCACATTTGTCGTTGATTTTGGGTTGTATACTTTGTTTATTCAAACAACGTACATGTTTCTTTCCAAGTAGAATGTTAACTTAGGCAGAAAATGTGCTTCCTTTCTAAATTCCCCAACTGAGCTAATCCTCGTAGATGAATTTTTGATTTAGCCTTCCTTGTCCATTTCTAGATAGGATGAATCCCCAATTAAGTTATTTTCTCATTGGGTGGAGTCTTATTTGACTGTCTTCTCTCTGGTTTATTCCTGGAGGGAGTTTTTTTTGTCTCTTGCATAGGCTATCTCGTGGTTTTCTCCAAGCTAAACAACCTAGATGAATGGTGCATTTATTTTGCGCATTTAAGTATTTGACCTCCTCAGGAAGGATCTATTCATGATTCCCTTTGAAAAAGAATTTTATTCTCTGGCAGTGTTATTGCAACTTTCTTCTGAAATATTTTTGGAAAACGGCAAACGGTAGTCTCTTCATGAGCAACTTATACATTATAGACATCGTTAGAAAACGACAAGCGGCGGTCTCTTCATGAGCAACTTGTACGTTATTATTATTTGGAAAACGACAAGCAGCCGTCTCTTCATGAGCAACTTGTACGTTATTATTTTTTGGAAAACGACAAGCGACAGTCTCTTCATGAGCAACTTGTACGTTATTATTTTTTTGGAAAACGGCAAGCGGCAGTCTCTTCATGAGCAACTTGTACGTTATTATTTTTCTGGAATACAGCAAGTGGCAGCTTCTTTATTTGAGCAGCTTGTATGTCATAGTATTTTTGGAAGACAACAAGTGGCAGCTTCTTTATTTAAGCAACTTGTATGTCATAGTATTTTTGGAAGACAGCAAGTGGTAGCTTCTTTATTTGAGCAGCTTGTATGTCATAGTATTTTTGGAAGACAGCAAGTGGCAGCTTCTTTATTTGAGCAGCTTGTGTATCTACAACCATATTATTATTTCAGCATTAATTGGTATATCTCCGGAAATCTCGCAGAGAAGTTTGTTATGAATCTTTACCTTCAGAAGTCGGTAATCCATTATCAGCAAATTTGGTACATCTTTTGTCTATCTTTGACCTTGAGTGGTGAACTCACTGTTATTTTGGGTCAATAATCTGTTTTTGTGGCCTATGCAAGATGCCTTCTTTGTTAGGGTCAGAGGTCGTATTCTCTCAAATTTTTATTCGCTGTCAAGAGTCTATCATTTGAAGTCGATGGCTCATTTCCCCAGTAGTGTATAATCTATGTTCCTGTGTTTTGTTGGTGTTTGGTTTCTCCAGCATTATCTTGTCTCATACAATATCATTCTCTGTGAATTTAAATACTACATTCATATCACAAACCTAATGGCGGTATCTTAGGGCGAAAATTGCGTATTATGTATTTAAGTACCTTCAATCTCGTCGAGACGAAGATTTTAATCTTCATATCTCCGGGTAGAAGAAACTTAAATAGGGGCAGCTGTCATACCCCAAATTTTGACCTAAGATACCACCTCCCATCTGCATCATTACATTGCAAGCGTTCACAAGCGATTTGACCTATTTTTATCAATTTTTAAAGCAAATTTTAAAAATTCATAACTTCTTCAAATTTCGATATTTTTGAGCGGTCGTTTTTGCACATGATTTTTCTTGACATCATCTACGATTTTTCTTTACAAGTCAAGGGAAAATTATGCATTGAAAAGCCACGAAAAATGTTGACGATTAGAAGTCGTTTCACGAATTTGATTTTAATTTTGGACTATGTTTTTGTCCGATCATACATTTTACACTTTCTCTTCTCTTATTTTTATTTCCTGAAAAAATCCTTAAAATAAAATTATTTTTAGTTCATGTCATCTTCATTTTATTTACATTTTTATTCAAAAAAAAATAGTCTCTTTAAATTTTATTTAGATTTTTTCTTGTATCATTTAAGCCAAAATTATAATTTTTTAGTTTTAATTTAGTAAAAAATCTCAAAAATATGTGTTGTCATTATTTTATTTTAATTCAAAAAAAAAATCAAACAAAATATAATTAATATCTTTTCCTTTTTATTCTTTTAGTTATTATAATTTTTTACTTCTTTCTTTCAATATTAATCTTGATTTGATTCTAATTTTAACTCAATTTCTTTAAGTTGGGTTATTGTTAAAATTAAAATTAATTTTAATTTATTTTTATTATTTGTTCTTTGGAAATTTTAGTTTAATCCTTTTCCTTTTATTATTACTAACTGTTATTATTATTTTTAGTTATTATTATTATTATTATATTTCTATTTATCTTATTTGTTTCCTTGTGGAAAATGTCTAAACAACAAGCTCCAGAACTCTTGCACTAGTTTTTATCCAAAACATAATTCAGCTTCAAGTCAATTTCCAAAACCATGTGCAAAACAGTCCAAACTTGCTTCAAGTAAAAAAAAAACTCTGTTACTATGCTGCCAATTCTGCTACTATGCTGCTTTACTTGCTGCTCCAATAGACCAAAACACTGCATATACTATCCAAAAGTATACATGAAAATAGCAAAAAAAAATTTGCATCATAAAAGCAATAGAACAGTTAACTACAATAGTTCAAATGAACCAACTCTTCCCACCAGATTTTATCAGTTTTTCTCTATAAAAATGAAAACATCACAATACAAAAAGAGGGGGCAGGGGCGGGAAGAAAAAAGAAAACAATACTGTCAAAAAATAATTTTTCCCAAACATTTTTTTTTCTTACAACAACCTACAATCCCATCAAAAGGTGCCAGATTCAGATTAAAGATAGTAGAAGAAGAGAAGATTAATTTTCGGGCTTACAGTTGCATATCAGAATCATTATTCTCTGGACTTCTATTCTTTGATTCTTCAGCATCAACGTCGTTGGTAACTCTTTCTCCTTCCATTTACATCTGTTATGATTGTTGTGTTTGAATGTTGTAGATTTTGCTATGCTTTGTTATTACCTTCATATTTCTGCAAAAGATGAGCAGTGTATCTTATGGTTACTATTAAATAAATAAAAAAGCTTGAGAATGAACCATAACTGCAAGAATAGTTGAAACAGAACACATACTTTTGAGAGGGACATAGGGCAGTATTACAGTACCAAAAATATAGTTACAGTAAGAGAGAAAAGGCAAAATATATATATATATATATATATATATATATATATATATATATATATATATATATATATATATATATATATATATATATATATATATATATATATAAATTACAGAAGTGAAGAACCCTTCGCCTCCCGATCTGCCATCACCAAGACACTCTCACCTCCGTTCGGCCTCCCTCTGCTCGCTCCGACTTCTTCTTACTTTCGTTGCATCACAACATCTTCCACAACCCCTAGCCGTTCTCGCGCAAATCCCTTCGCCATCAAACACCGCGGACGATGCTGATTCCTCCGACCTCCATTGTTGGCCACAACGTTTGGGTACTCCTTCGCCTTTTGTTTTTTTTTTTTACTTTTCACTGTTTCTTTTTGTTTTGTGTTTGAGAAAAATGGAAGCTTTATTGAACATTGGAAGAGGAAAGAGTTTTATGCTGGTTGACGTTGGAGAGTAAAGGGGGTAGCGTCGCGGGTGAGTTTCTCGTTTTAGGGCTAGTGGTTGTTAGAGGAAGAAGAAGGACATTAGGGTGAGAGAGGGCACATGGAGGAACTTGGAGAGAGAGAAATCATTGTTGATGGTGATTTGTTTGAGAGAGGAAAGATGAAAAGATGGAATAAAGAAAACACAGTAGGGAACCGTGAGAGAGATGGATTTCTTTTCTATTGTAATTGTTGAGTTTTTTTTGGGAATTAAACAGTAATAATTGGAATCACCTTTTTAAATTTTTTTCTCTTTCCTCAACCCTGTCTGCGGCGGCGCCCCTTCCACATGCCTTAGGGTTTTCAAAACCCTTCACATCCTTTCTCAAACCGGGCTGGTGTTGGGCCCATTTTCTTTGGCCCAATCCATTATCATTATTAGCCTTTTCTTTTAATTAAATCATAGTAATAACAATTAAAGAACATAGTTCACTTGGCATGGCTAGTACACTGCAATCTAAGAAATGTGACTTCAACACCTTGTGAAAACATTTTTATTTTGTTTTTGTTAACTCTTTAACCTTATTTAAAAAAAATATATATATATATTAGTAAATCTTATAACTAATTTAGTTTAGTATTAATTTAGATTTATTTTATAACTTTATTTGTTTTAGCTTTAATTTAGTAAACTTTAGAATTTTATGTGTTGTAGTATTATTTTAGTAACTTTAGGATTTTATTTCATTTAGATTTGATTTAGTAAATTTTAGAATTTTATTTGTTTTAGTTTTAATTTAGTAAATTTTAGAATTTTATTTGTTTTAGTTTAGTTTAATAACTTTGGAATTTTATTTGATTTTATTTAGTTAACTTTAGAATTTTTATTTGATTTAGATTTAGTTTAATATCTTTAGAATTTTTTATTTGATTTAGAATTAGTAACTTTAGAATTTTTATTTGATTTAGATTTAGTTTAATAACTTTAGAGTTTTTATTTGATTTAAATTTAGTTTAGTAGTTTTAGAATTTTTGATTTAGATTTAGTTTAGTAACTTTGGAATTTTTATTTGTTTTAGATTTGATTTAGCAACCTTGGAATACTAATTTAGTTTGGATTTAATTTACTAATTTTAAAATTTTAATTTAGTTTAGATCTAATTAAGTAATTTTAGAACTATTTTTACAACCTTAGAATTTGTAGTTAGTTTAGAATTTTTTTTAGTAAGTAATCTTAAATTTTTTAATTTAGTTTAAATAACTTCTTTAGATAATTAGTTACATTCTCTTTTATTTTATTTAAATATCTTTGTCATTTTAATTTCTCGACGCCTTTAGGTCATTAATCTGTTTCGTTATATTTATTTTCTTGTGAATTTTGATTGCTTATATTTTGATGTCTATTTTATTTTGCTCGCTCGATTTAATCCAAGGGAAATGTTTTAACTTTGTTGACTTCATGTTATCAAACACATCTCATCCAATCGTGCGAATACCCTCATTCATCTTTTGTTTGTTTACTATTTTGTTAAACCTAAGATAATTTTCCCAAAAGATTCAATTTTTAAACTCACACCTTTTAAGTCAAAACTTCGACATTAGGTCGTTGTCTCTTCAAAATCTCATCCGCACCCATCTTTAGCCAAACAAACTATTTTAATCAAACAAACAATTTAAAAAAAACAGATATTTCAAAAGGTTCCTATAGAATACTATAGATACATTGGGTGCTAATACCTTCCCATTGTATAACCAACCCCCGAACTCTAGACCTCTTTTTCAAAAACGCCTTGTATTTTCATTACTTTTAAAGTATTATTTTACATTGCATATTTTAGGGTTTTATTTCACTCTTTTCCCTTTTCCCTTGGAAATAATAAAGCGCGGTGGCGAATCTTGCTTTTGTGAGACGAATTAATTAATAGTTCGATCTCCGATTTACCCCGCTACATTGTTTATCGCTACAGGTACGTAGGCACTAAAGGTTCGCAACCGTGGCAGGTGCAAAAATCATAAAAAATATATTTCTTTTCTCACCTCCACCGTCTATTTTACATACAATATTTTATAGCCAAAATATAAAAGATTTTTCAAAGAGGTTCCCGCGGAGTACCGTAGATATTTAGGGTGCTAATACCTTCCCTTTGCATAACCAAGCCCCTTACCTTGAATCTTTCCCCCTCTTTTTGGGTTACTCGCTCTTTTCCCATTCCTTTGGAAACAATAAAGCATGGTGGAGATTTTTATTTTGATATGTATAAGTCTAGTCAATCCAATGGCTTAGTCTTAAACATTTCTACCGTTACGGAAAAAATAGCGACTTCACTGGGGACAGATTGACCTCTTGCTGGTCCACTCCTAAGTGGGTTGAGCCTATCTTTATTTATATTTGTATATGTGTTATTGTTGTTTATGTGTTATATGTTGTATATATGTTTGTCTGGACTTTCCTGGTTTTCAGGGTGTTGGTGATTACTTATAAGTCCTATACCCAGACTTGGGAAAAATTTAAGATAGGACGGGAGGTATAGTCATGTTAACTTTGAGGGAGTAATCCCAAAAAAGGAGGCATGAGATCCCCCACTCAGTGGAGGCCCCTTTGACTATAGTGTCGTTTACCGAGTAATCGGGAAGACGTGCTGCTTTTGACTTAGGAGCCTGCTGAAGCTGAGGACCGTAGAATACCTAACCCATCTTGGCCTTTTAGGTGTAGTGCAGAAGCTATAACAAAGTAATCTGGAAATAGTTGTCACGTGATACTATGCTCGGACGAGTTTTTCTTGAGAATATTACTAATTACCGAGTTAATCAAGAAGTTGGTAATATCCGAAGGAAGGATGTAGACTCTAGGAACCTCTAGAACCTTGTTCGGAAGGTGATAAGTTTTAGACCATACCTTATGGGTAGTACCTTCGACCTCATTCTCGTGACGTTGAACCTATGAACCCTATATTTGTGATCTTGTGTGTGATTATTGCATCATGCATCCATGCACCCATAAGCATCTTTTGAAGGAATTTCATTTCAAGGGACTTAAAAGGTTGACCATTTGTGAATATCCTAGGTACCCTTTGGCCATGGATTCTGGAAAAAGAAAGACTGAAAAATACAGTTTCAAAGATCCCAAGATAAATGAGTTGATCAGTCTAATTCCCGAGATTGAGTGTTCTGCAGATTTTCGGAAGAAGTATGGATCCATCATTCCTCTCATGAAGCTTAGGATGAAGGAGGGCATTCCCTCGACTTTGGTCCAGTTCTATGATCCGATGTATCATTACGTTACTTTCCCTAACTATTAGTTGATGCCTACACTAGAGGAGTATTCTTATCTGTTGGATTTACCTATTACCGATCGTGTTCCTTTCACTGGTTTGGAGGGTGAGCCAAAATCACATGAGATTGCTGCTTTGATCCATCTGGGGAAGTCTGAGGTTGAAGCCCATATGACCACTAAAGGATGGATTAGAGGATTACCAGCTCAATTCTTATTGGAGAAAGCTCGTTACTTTTCCAGGATGAAGAGTACAGTCGCTTTTGAGGTCGTATTTGCTCTACTTGCTTACGGGTTGTTCTTATTTCCTAATGTGGATAGGTTTGTTGACGTTAATGCTATCAGGATCTTCATGATTGGAAACCCAGTTCCTACATTATTGTGAGATGCTTATTACTCTATTCATCTTCAGAATTCTTATCATGGGGGATGATTATCTGTTGCACGCTACTTTCTGCCACGTGGCTGGTCAGGTAGAACATCAGTATGGATCTTGCCGAATTTGCTGACGGGACTCCCGAGGATGTTCAATTATGAGAAGAGGTTTTTAGTTGTTGTTAGACAATGGAACCATCAAAGTTACAGCTCAAAGGGATGATTACCATGAAGTTGACATGATTGAGGAGTCAGATGATGAGTATGCCTCTGCAGATGAGTATTTCTCCTCAGAGGAGGATTTGTTTTCCAGAGATGACTCCATAATGACTGGCTGTGTTGAAGAGGGAGTAAATGTTATTGTGCCTTGTTTTGGTGCGCCTACCCCTTTTGAAGTTGAATATCATAACAAGCCAGCTATTACTTCATTAGTGATTAGTTTGTCGGGTCATGTGCCCTATAAGTTAGATAAGGTTGTACCCTACAAATATAATGCTACAATCTTAGAGGATGGTGTGGAAGTTCCCATCCAGCTGATGCCTGATGTTGGAAATATTGATGAGACTAGCAGAGTGACCCACATCGGTCGTGTGGTGGTTCGTGGAGATGTTAGTGATAGAAAGAAAATTGTTTAAAATATTGAACCCAAGAAGGCTACGAGTGAATCTAGTGGAGCTACGCTAGAGAAAGAAGTGGATTATATTTTGAAGATAATTAAGATGAGCGACTACGGAA